AGTAGTAGTAGTAGTAGAAATAGAGTAGTAGTAGTAGTAGTAGTAGTAGCAGTAGCAGTAGTAGGAGTAATAGGCAGTAGTAGTAGTAGTAGTAGTAGTAGTAGTGGTAGTGGTAGTGGTAGTATTAGTAGTAGTAGTAGTAGTAGTAGTAGTACTTACATGTCGGGATGGCCGGCAGGGAGAAGTTTACACTTATCAAACTTTTTTGCAGCAAGTGCATGCGGGAACACAGTGCTTGCAGGGCAAGCTTTTATCGCAGCCGTCTATCGCATCGTCAGCAGCGGCCGCGACCTGGGCAGGAATTCAATTACTTCTATACTGCATTTGATGTGTCGCGTGACACAGTGACACTGTGACAGAAAAATGCATGATGTACTGCTGCAGACAACCATTTTCCATCATGGCTGCATCGAAATAAAACTGCTCGTGACACGCAGCATTCGACTGGAGAGAGGATGCTTGCAGTTGTGCAATGGCAATGATATTGACACTGACTTAAAGTATGTCTGTAAATTTGCTACGTGACTCAGCCCCAGAAACTGCAAGCCATCACGAAATCCATTGCATCTATTGGAATGCCCGTACGGTCTTTCTTGCGGCGATTCTGCTTTGCCGCCTTGGAATCTGTCATGAGGCGATAGCCGGTCTTGCGTCTCCTCGGCACAACGCAAAACTCAGTGACACTGACTCAAAGCATGCAAACAGCAATGCAAATGCAAACATATGCAGGCAAGCATCATGTCCGCAGGGTTTGTACGCAAAACGAAGCAAAGCTCTTGACCCCGAACTGCTTTCCATGCCTCATGACACTTAGCGAGTGCCTTGGCCACCGGAAAGGCAGTTGACGCTGTGTCCTTGTCCTCTCCCAGCAGCGACTTGTGCAAAAGAACCTCCATATCCTTCTTGAATGCAGGCTGTAGCGACATAGCCAGCACTGGCCAACGACATATCCTCCCATGACACGTGACGCTGTGAAAAATTCAGACACATCTTCATCCGGTGTGTCTTGTGGCGGTAGCATCATGTGACACTCATCCTCGCGTGTGGGACAGAACCAGAACAGGCGATTGGCCTTTGCCAACTTTTGACACTGCGAGACACTGCTGTTCCAGACTTCAACCACGAGACTTAACTCCTGGATGACACTGTGGTTGATGGGTTTCTCAGATACTACAATACAGGTGTCACCAGCGTGGGGCAAGTTCCCTGGGCTCATCGATGCCTTGACAATGGCAACATCCATGTGTTTAATGGCCTCTCTGACCTCTGCCTCCTCGGCCAACGCCTTCTGGAATTTCGTCGCATTGGGTCCATCTCCCGGCTCCAGGATGTCCGCTTTGAACCGTTTCCTGGGCACCGATGACACTGACTGACTGAACAACACAAGTCATGGCGACTCATGACTCAGTCTAACAATGATGGCATCCAAAGAGCCTCTCTGACACTACCAGGTTCTTCAAGCGTTTGGCCAGATGTTGATAGCCCGTTTGACCTTCGACGGCTCGTGACGCTGAAGCTGCCAACCGTGCAAGCTCGTCTCCATCGAGACACTGTGCAGTTTGTACCTCCTCCAACTGACCTTCACGCTTGCGCTTCCGCGAGACCCTGGTATCCTTCTCCACGAAATCAGGTCGCAGTGACACTGGCAAGCAGCGGCGCGGTAGAAGTGTTCGACGACGATACATAGAACCTCTGCCTCCAAAGAGTGCCAGGTAGCGGGCCATCGTGACACTGCAATCCTCGCTGGGGACATATGTGGCCGGTGCATCCACGTGACTCCGGTGACACTGAACATAGTCTTCAGGTCGTAGCCCGTCCAAACGGACCTTGAGGAGACTCCTTACAGGCCATCGTGAAAAGACTCATGTATGACTACTCTACACGAAGCCAAATGCTGCTGTGGGTCCTCATGTGTTCCTCAGTTGTCTTGGCCTTTCGCTTTGCAGTAAACATCTCCACCAGCGAAAAATTCTGCTCGCATTCAGCTGACCCTGGATAGGTCGTCAACATAACAGCAACCTTAGAATGCAACATTGCACACAGAGCATGCCACGGACTGATGGCATGTGACACTAAGTCACTAAGTGCGACCTCGGTGCAGCCTTTCCAAGAACAGGCAACTTTTTGTGCCAATGCTGCATGGCCTGCGCCCAACACATGACACTGTCCTTCGTGCCAGACCTTGGCAGGGATCCGGGTGGCACTGTGACAGCGCAGGAAGCCGAAACAGCTGCCTCCTGATTTGCTCCACAGTGGATCTGGCCACCACGAGCTCCTTGCTCAAGCGTTCGGCCTCAGATTGCATGGCACACGTTGACACCGACCACTTCAACTTCAAGTTGCCTAGGGACACACAGCTCAATAATCCAAGCAAGAGTCATCCACGTGACACGCTTTAGCAAAGTCAGCAAGCATCTCAGGCAACGCAGCATCCGAGAACTGCTGCTCATGCCAGTGTTCCAAGTCGAAGCACTGCAGCGATCTCGCGACACCGAAGTTGTGCTCAACCTCCAGGGACTGGAGATAGTGGGCGACCACTGCGTGGATGACACCGAGCTGCTTGCCAACTGCAGCACGGAAATCTGCCCGGTTTCCATAGCCTGCCCGGAAGTAGATCAGGCGCTGGTCGTAAACGATTGCCTCTGGCTCAAGCAAATTCACTGACGCTGTCAATCGTTGCAAATACCCTGCAGTGTAGTCTTGGCAAAGCACCAAGGGTTCTTGCCGGTCCTCCAAGGAAAACAGACGCTTCAACTGACACTTTAACTGTGCAAAGTAGAAGTTTGATCTTGCCAGCTGGTGTCGGCTCGTGTCGAAGCAGTGGTGGAACTTTGCACACGTGGCACTGAGCTCTGCAAGCAAACTCAACAAAATCATGTTGTCAGCGGTGAAGACCCTGGTCAACTTGTCGGCCCATTGACGCAGTTTTGGAGAATGGATACGAAACAAATGCAACGCGTGCAACACTGGCTTCACATTCTCGGCCAACGTGACACAGACAAGCATGATGGAGTCGAACCGTTGCGGCGCCACGTGAAGGCTGACCAGTGCGTTGTCCGCGGCCTCGATTGCGATCATCATTCGGAGGGCTAGCTGCCGTAACCAGAGCATCGATTAGCTTGGCGACACGTGACTCTGATTCGAGAGCATTCTCCAGCGAACGTTGAGCACTGTGCAAGTGACACCGAAGGATGATGGTGAGCTCCTTCAAGTCTTGTGCCTCCTGCATGACACCGTTGCAAGGGAGGTCTGACACGTGACACTGTCACTTGTCCTTCATGTGACGCGCTGATGCTGGCTCGGCTCTCAAGCCGTCTGACACGAAGACCTGCCCGACAGGTTAGAAGGCTGACCCTGACTCTGACACAGTCAGTGATACAGTGGCCTTCAGCTTCGTGCGGAACAAGTTCAACACGTGACTCTGGCCACCGGCAAAGCGCTCAATGGCTGCCCACAGATGTCTTGACTTTTCCAAAGCATCCTGCACTCATGTTGCAACACGCTGCACTGCAGAACCCTGCCCACCTTCCCCTTGGGCTGCGAAACATCCAGCATGAAGTTCATGACACTGTAGTCACCCAAAGCGGCCCGACATTTGACCAGCTCCACACCCTTTCGCTCGTCCTGATTCAAATTTCAAATCGGGAATCCATGGGATTCATCACCGAAGCCGTGCCTGAACAAGTCCCAGACTCAGGACACCCTTTTTCAGGAGTGTCTTCTGCTGCCTCTCTGTCAAGACAGCCGCATAGGCCGTCGCAATGTCAAAATGCGTGTGGCGCTTGCTGTGCAGAAGTGGACACTGAAGGGGATTCAACCTTGTCAAGGACGGGCATCACCGTGTGCTGAACAGCAACGACACACACTCTGAGTCTGACAACAATGACAAGTCCCACCTGTTCTGCTCGAGACACCGGTCTTCGTAGCTGGTGCCCTGTGCTGCCAAAGGTTTCCAGCACGTGGAGATGGAAATGAGACACTGGAGAGGTGTCAAAGGAGTGCGCTCGATGACCTGACCAGGCTGGCTGGACTCGGCCACGTCACTCGGACACTGTGCGTCAGGTCCTTGCAACAGACGGCTCTGCGCCAGAGCATGAATTTTGCAAACAGTCCCCGCTTTGCTTCGACTCCCGTGACGCAACAAATCTTCCAGTTGCAACGGTTGCCGCTTGATTGCCTTGCCATCACCCGTGACACTGGCTCCTTTCCTCGGTCTGCCAAATCATAACAATAATACATCAGAATCAACAAACTCACACCACTAGAATGCACGCGACACTGACTCACTGAGAATGAACGCTGGGGCCATGTCGTATGCAACATGAACGGCGTCGTCTTGCCATGTGACGCAGGTTTCCGACTTGTACAGATCAGCGCATATTTTGCAGCCTATACCCCACGGTCCGGCCGGTGCGACTTCCAAATACGTGACCCAGTCGCCTTGGTCGGTTCATCAGAATGACACGCCCGAGTGACATTCGCATGTTGTGCCAAGCCACCATCAGATGTCTGATAGACGCATTTTGTCTTCCAGTTCTCGCCATGTTTGGCCCAGCGACACTGATTGCACGATTTCAGCTGCAAGTCCTCAGGCTCATTCATCCCGTCGTCATCCACTGTCTCAGTCACTCAGCACAATTTGCAGTCAAGTGACGCTGCCATGGATGGGACAGGAAGCAGGCATAGCAGTGTTTCAGCAACATAGGCACTCGTAGGTCTTGTGTGCTGCAATGCTACTGCTTCTGCTCTGCGATTTCTGGCAGGGCTACACGAAATCTCTTTGAGCCTCCGTGAGTGACGCTGAGTCTGTCATCATGCCAAATGTTTTGTGTGCTATGCAATCAAGGGCGATCGAGCGGCGGTGACCGATTGTTTCTTCCCGGGCACCTGAGAACTGACTCGTGACACCGAACTCTGGGATCCGTCAAATGTACATGACCGACCGGACGAAAGAACTGCTTCAGCAGGGAGTCCGGGAGAGTGCACCGCAGGCCACATATTGATAATTAAAATTGAACACCTCCGGGCGCTGTGGCGGACACTGTCCTGGACTCGTGACTTAATAATAAATCAATCAAAACAATAGTCGCGTGCCTCTGCGACAATCTAGGAGCTGTCGGAGTCGTGACTCCGAGTGATTTTTAACTTCTTAGCATTGTCCCCATCAATGACGGGGCCATTGTGCAGCGTCGCAACGGAGATACGTCGCTTCGCAGTCTGCACTGCCTCATGGATCTTGTCCACTTGATCCTCCTTGAAGACGTCACTGTACTCCTCGAACAGTGACTCGAGGTCCACATCCAAGTCCTCCAAGTGACTCAGGGCAGCGTTTTTGAGCTCTCTGAGGCGCATCTCGCGCTGCTCTTTGATCACATCATTTCGGAGCTCATCGTTCCCTATCTTGCCCAACCAGCTCAAGGTGACAGTCACGTGGCACTCCAGCTTCGGAACAGGCAGGGTTTCAAGTGACGCAGACCAGAAGTCCTTGGCAACACAGGTGTCATTCACCGGCATCGCAATACTGACACCGGCTGACTGCTGTTGCTAAGTCTCAGTGATGAGGCTGTGAACATTGTTCACGAACTCACCCACCGGTCGTGTCGCCTGGAAGACGTAGACACGGTACCTGGGAGACAGGTTTGACTCTAAAGTAACTGACGAAGACTGAAGCCGAAAGAAATCCTGGTCAGGTGACCTCTTCGGCGGAGTCAAGGGAACCTCTCCATCCAAGACCCACATGAGGATGCCCAGAGTATCAATGTTGCTCAGCATTGACACTGCGCTTTCGTCCACACATAGCAGCTTCTTTCCTGGCAGCATGTGCCTGGACGGAGTTTCCACGTGACACTGAATCATCACAGACGCAATTCAGATTAATTAACCGGCCTGCGGAGACACTGACCCAACACGCCGGCTGTGCTCGGACAGCTCGGAGCATACCACGCGAAAGCCGGCTCCTCAGTGACCCTGTCCTCAGGCTGCTCCTCCGGTGCACAGGCTGCCGTGTGCGAAACACTTAGCTTCACCCGGTGCAGCTCGATGCTTGCCCATGGGGTGCGCAGCACGTGAAAGTGGCGAATCACCAAACTCTGGTCCGAGCACGTGACACAGTCGTGCTCCACACACCACTGCAGTCCATGCAACAACGTGACACTGACCAGCTTGAACTCCCGCCCAGTCAAGAGGCCGGCCGATTTCAACGCCGGCTTCGGCTTGGACTTCTTGTTGGACCAATCCAGTCCGAGCCTCGTGACACTGCGTTCACAGAACAAGTCAGATTCAATCAAGTGACTCTGAGATGAGTGAGGCCGAGCGGCTTGCGGCCCCCGCCTTTGATGGCCTGCTTGACAGCTGACAGTGCATCTGGCCAGCACGTGACATTGTTCATTGATGCGATCAGGTCATCCGTCACAAAGTACCACGTGTTTGCCATGGCTCACCGGCACGGAACACTACTCCTAACTTGCGCAGGTCGCGGCTTTCACTGGGACAGCTGAATCTGCACTCAGGACTGACTGGGCTTTGAACTGTTGCGCACTCCAAGCCCCAGGCAGCGTGACAATGATCTCCGAGGACAGCATGACTCTGATCCGAGGGCCGCGACCTTGCACATCGGAAATTGAAATAATTGTGTTGACTGAAATTATAATTCAGAAGTCCAGCGCGACACTGCATGCTGCAACCCGTCAATTTGACTCTCGCTGAATCGCTAAGCTGCATCACGGAGGCTCTGACGACTGTCCAATCAGATTCGCCAGCGCAGTATTCGTTTCAAAGTCAACAAAACTGGACACCGTCATACGTGACGCGGGCTTTTCCTGTAGAAGGTGCAGAAGCAAGCCCCGCCAGGAAACCGAAACATTCTCAAATTTGACACTGAAGGTGGCATTCTGAGATCGCCAGTTTTGGATTTGGAGAGGGCTTTCGAACATGACGCTGCCCACCAGTAACTCATACAAGGTGACTCCATAAGCCCAAGCTTCTGTTTTGACATTGTAAAAAGTGTCTTTGAGCTGTACATTCCACAACTCCAATCTTTGTACAATACAACATATGGAAACTTACTATGAGGCGATTCCTCAGTGAAGGACCTTACAAAGGAGAGCCTCGTGATCTTGACATTTCCAGCTACCGGATCCCAGAGAACAGCTGCCGGTCGAATGTCCCCGTGACACATGCCAAGATCATGAAGCGCCGCCAAAGCCACGCCGGCGACCATGAAGTCACCTCCACGATGGTGGTCGCGGGCTTCCTGATAGCTTCTTTGCTGTTTGGAGGTGCAAAGACTTTCCAGTATTTCTCGTCCTGTCTGAGCTCATTGTTTGGTCAGGAGTACTTGTCCATTTCATGAATCTCCTGCTCGCCCCTTCCGTGGTGAGTAGGACTTGGTTGCGCAACATTAGGATCAGCATTTGCCACTGTCTTTGGTTTGCGTATCTAGGACTGAGCTGGATCTTTCAGAAAGCATGTTCCGGCTTGTGGCCGGGAGTTGTGGTTCGC